CCTTCTCTCTCTCTGTCTCTCTCTGGTCAAATTAAAATAAATAAATAAAAATTTTAAAAAAGAATTAATTTTAATTTTTTTATGTATTCATTTATTTAAATTTGACCAGAGAGAGAAAGGGAGAAAGCAAGCCACCAGGCCCAGGATTCGAACTGTGGTCAGTCACGTGGGAGTGCCCAGCGCCTTAATCATCACGCCACCTGCTGGTCCCAATTTTAATTTTTATTCATTATTATTCTTCAGTTTGAGTAGACAGAGTTAGAATCAGAGAGAGAGTGAGAAAGCAAGCTGCCAGATCTGGGACTCAAACCTTGGTCAGGCATATAGGAATCCAGCCATCAACTGCCACACCACTTGCCGGGCCCAAGAATGTCATAGTTGGATATTGATCCTTTCTACATATTGCTAAGTTGTGTTTTCTGAAAACCTTCTTAAATGTGTAAGTCTTTTAATACATAAGTGACAAAATAAAAGTGTTTGTTAAAGAGTGTGCATTGGGGGCTGGTGGTTAAGGATGCTAAACTCCCACATGGCCAACCGCAGTTCGAGTTCTGGACCTAGTGGCTTGCTTTCTCACTTTCCCTCTCTTTCGCTTTCACTCACTCTGTCCCTCTCTGGTCAAATAAAATAATAAATAAATAAAAATTAAATTAAAGAAAGAAGTGTGACTTGATGGGACCAACAGATGGCTAGGTTACATCACTGGACTCCCACATAGTTGACCACGGTTTGAGTCCCAGACCTGGTGGCTTAAACTGATGCTGTGCTTGCGTGCCCAAAATCCCTAGAGAAGATGGCAGGAGACAGGATGGCAGTATGGTCATCTCCCCTAGGGGGTGTTGTTATTTCTCACTTTCTGACCATCTTCTCTGTATCTCCAGTGAGCGTGCACACCCTATAGAAAAATTTTATTTATTATTTATTCATTTGTTTATTTCAATTTGACCAGAGAGGGACAGAGTGAGAGAGAGAGAGAGAGGGAGAGAGAGGGAGAAAGCAAGCCGCCAGGTCCAGGACTCGAACCATGGTTGGCCATGTGGGAATCCAACACCTTTAACCACCAGGCCACCTGTCGGTCCCATTATTGAACTTTTTAAGAGGTCTTTTTGCCTTAGGGTGGATGTGCTCACCTGGGAGAGACAGAGAGACAGACAGAGACAGTGAGAAGGGAAGTGAAAAATCACCCTTCAAGGGAGGATGGACAGGCCACTATCCATTCTCCTTGGGCATGCAAGCACACGTGCCTGGCCTGATTTTGAAGCCACTGGGTCTGGAATTGGAACCACGGTAAGCCATTTGGGAATCCAGTGATGTAACCACTATGGTGTCTGCCAGTTCCTGATATTATTTTTAATCTGACTAGAGAGAGACAGAGAGAGGGAAAGGGCAAAAGCAAGCCACCAGGTCCAGGATTTGAACTGCGGTCAGCTACATGGGAGTCCAACGCTTTCATCACCACATCACCTGCTGATCCCTGGTAATGTGGTCATTTTTGCTACTATAATTCCTAATACCCTTTCTTTTATGAAAGGTGCTATTCTGGTTGTCTTTAGCAAGAGGACAGTGGATGGAAAAAGTTTTTGATATTATGAATGAATGATAAATATCATGAAAGGAATTGTAACTATTGAAGAATGAAAAATAAAATTTTCCTCAGGTGAGCAAACAGACCTTGTATGTGTATAGCAATACCAACTCAAAATATACACAAATTAACTAGACAAAATTACGAACTTGAGGGCCTGCAGGTGGCATGGTGTTTAAGGTGCTAGACTTCCACATGGTGGGCCATGGGTTCGAGTCTTGGACATGACAGCTTGAAACTCAAAACTGGACACATGTGCATGTGAGACTAAAATCCCAATAGGAGACTGGAGGAAAAGGGACTGTGGAGAGGCCATCCCTCTTGGGGGATGATTTCTCACTTTTCTTGTCTCTTTACGGCAAATGCACATACCCTATGGCAAAAACCTTAAAAACAAAACTCAAGCTTGACCTGGAAATCCCTAATTGCCACCGAATACTTTAATGTATTCTCTCAGGAACTGAAAAAGACAGTCATTAATAGGACACAAGTATTTGGAGACAATAAAATATTTCTAAGAACTATCTATAGTTTGGGTTTGACAAAAACATGCACATCGTGTTTACTCATATACAATGAAAAGTAATTGAGAACATTCTCAGAGACTGTGTGTTCACGTGTAACAGGAAACACCAAACCATGTCTTTGATAGGAGGGTGCTTGTTCTTACACTGTAGTTCGCTGTCAATCATTCACCCTGCAGTGCAGGAGAGAAACACAACTCCCTGAAGTTCTCTATTTTTTATTTTTTTAATTTAAATAATTATGGGACCAGCAGTTGGCGTAACAGCTATGTTGCTGGACTCTCATGTAGTCGACCACAGTTTGAGTCCTGGACCCAGTGGCTTAAACTCACACCGGGCGCATGTGCGTGCGTGCCCAAGATCCCGAGAGAATGGAGGAGAAGGGATTGTGGTGTGGCCATCCCCCCTGGGGGGTGATTTCTCGCTTTCTGTCTCTCTGTCTCTCTCTGTCTTTCTGGTGAGCGCACATACCCTATAGCAAAAACTTCTCCAAAAAAATTATTTTATTGAACTTAATTTATGTATTTTTATTTTTATTTGACCAGAGAGGAACAGAGTGAGAGAGAGGGAAAGTGAGAAAGCAAGCGACCAGGTCTAAGACTCGAACTATGGTTGGCCATGTGGGACTCCAGCGCTCTTAACCACCACAGCACTTGCTGGCCCCCTGAAGTTCTTTTTGACTATACCGCTATAGCTGTTATGAAGAAATCAGAAACACAGTGCCTGGTGGTATTTACAGAACAAGTTGTTCAGGACATAAATTAGACTTCAGATGACAAAAACTAGAGGTGAGGTGAGTCACGGTGTCAGAGAATATCCCCAATTCTTTTTGTTTCTTGAGAGGTTTTTGCTATAGGGAGTGTGCACTTGCCAGAAAGACAGAGCGAGACAGAGACAGAGAGAAATCACCCCCCAGAGGGGATGGCCACGCTGCAATCCCTTCTCCTCCATTCTCCTCTTGGGATTTTGGGAACATATGCACACATGCCCGGCGTGAGTTTAAGCCACCGGTTCCGGGACTCGAACCACAGTTGACTACACAGGAGTCCAGCAACATAGCCATTTCGCCAACTTCTGGTCCCGAGAATATTTCGAATTCTGAGAGTCCAAATTATTTTCCTGGTATACACATTAGAGTTCGTGAGAAAATCCAAACCAGGATGGTATTTGAGAGGGCCTTGTGGAGAGAGCTGCAGAAAACTCCATTTCTGAAAGGATGACAGTCAAGCACTGAGTGGTGGTTCTGAGAATACTTTTTTTTTAGAAGAATTATTTTATTTAACTCTATTTATTTATTTATTTATTTTAATTTGGACAGAGAGGGACAGAGTGAGAAGAAGAGTAGGAAAATGAGAAAGCAAGCTGCCAGGTCCAGGACTTGAACTGCAGTTGGCCATGTGGGAGTCCAGTGCCCTTCACCACTGTGCCACCTGCTGACCCCTGAGA